TATATGCATAACCCATGGACACAGACAATAGTGTGGTGAAGGCCTAGGGAGGGGAGTGGGTGTGGGGTGGAAGGGGTCAATGGGGGAAAAAAGGGACATCTCTAATATTTTGAATAAAAAAAAAGAAAAAAAAGAAGCTAACTTTTAAAAGGCAAGACTGGCCAGCTAGTTTGGCTCAGTGGTTAGAGCGTTGGCCTGCGGAATAAAGGGTCCCAGGTTCAGTTCCACCAAGGGCATGTACCTTGGTTGCAGGCTCAATCCCTGGCCCCGGTCTGGGACCCGTGGGGGAGACAACCAATTGATGTGTCTCTCTCACATCGATGCCTCTCTCTCTCCCCCTTCCACTCTCTCTGAAAAAGCAATGGAAAAATATCCTCTGGTGAGGATAAAAATAAATAAATAAATAAATAAATAAATAAATAAAATAAAAGGCAAGACTATGAACAGATTAACTTACAGAAGAGCAAATTCAAAAGGCTAACATTCAACCTAACTACTAACAAAGGACACAGGACTGGGAATAAGATATATACTGTCTCCTCTCCCTGACTGGCAAAGGTTAAAAATAATGATAGCAACACTGGCAAAGCTGCAGTGAGCCAAGCACACTCATATGATGCCTGCTGTAACATAAATCAGCATAGACTTTCAGGAGAGGAATTTGACACTATGTATGAAAACATTCTACTCATTTATCCAAGAAAATAATTTAAAATGCAACAACACTAGTAATCATATCAGTAAAATATCAGAATCAACTTATATGTTCCAAAATATTACTGGGGGGGAGGGGACACTTACAAATATCATGATATAGCTAAATAAAATGAAATTCTACAGTCACCAACAATGTTTTAGTAACATAAAAATTCTTACAATAAATAAATAAAAGCAGGATACGAAACTGTTTATAGAAAGACCTCAATTATGTGTCAGATAAAGAAACCCACATACCTAAAGAAAAATCAATCAAATGTTAGCAGTCTCATATTCTCTGATGACGTGCAACGTTTTCTTCTTTTAAATCATTATTATCCAAATTTACTCCAGTAAACATAAAATAATTTCAAAGATTGGAAAAAAAAGCAAAGTTTATTTATGTGTAGAGCAGTTTCACATACCTTGGTGGCTGTTACTGATGTAGCCAAGTTTGTAGTTTTGGAAGAGGATCCATTAGAACTTGCTGGTGGTGTCTGCGCCACTACGGATTTACTGTTTGTACTGTTTGCTCCATTAGCAGCACTGGTGGAGTGGGAGAAAGTAAATTTGAAGCCACCAGAAGATGTCCTTTTGGGAAGGTTTTCCTTGTCTTCACTTTCTTTTGCTAAAGCGAAAGTAAAATTTTGAACCTATATCAGTAAATATTGCTAAGTCAAAGTATCTGAAAAGAAAAACTTATAAAACATTGTCTTTGCTTTATAAGAGCTAAAAGAGTAGAGAAGCATGACGTGTACAGTGATACGTCTTTATTAGTTGGAATCTTAGAAATCTCAGCATTAAAAAGGAACTTTAGAATCAAATAACAAGCCCTGGCTGGTGTGGCTCAGTTGAAAGGTTGCTGGTTCGAATCCCTGTCCGGGCACATACCCAGGTTGCAGGTTTGATCTCGGGTTAGGGTGCTTCCGGGAGGCAACCGATCAGTTTCTCTCTCACACCGATGTCTCTCTCTCTCTTACTCTCAAATCAATAAAACCATTAAAAAAAATAATCACATAACAAATCAGCCACCCTATGCTAGAATTCTACACTGCTGTATCTAGGACACTTACAAGGACACTTTAGTTGCTTCTTTCTTTGTCTCCCTGCAGCTTTCACCCACTGACTCTATACTTCTATGGTCCTATAAACACCTAATAATCCCCCCCAAGCTAATATTTCAAATTCCTAAAGACAATGATATCAATCTTATTTCCTGAATATTCCATGTTCCTGTGTGGACATCTTTTATGAGACAGGTGTCTACCATCCTTTGACATCTGGTTGCTACTATTTTTTTTGTATTTGATTTTTAATTGGATACAGTAAGTTTGGCCTCACTGCCTCTTTCGAGAGTAGTCAGTCAGCACAGTGCCTGCAATGAGTAAAGGTAGACGAATATGGCTACTAAAAGGTGCCTATTCCTTAGGACATTTTAATAGGCTATACGCTCCTGTAGGCTAAAATAAATGGAACTTAGGGCACTAATGAGTGGAAAATGAGTGAAGCTGAAAATAACAGTTTCAGGGAAAATGCAATAACTAATGAAACACTAACTAATAAGAAATACCTTTAGAAATCTCACATTCAAAATAAAAAAACTTATATATAAGTCCAGGAAGTGCTTTTTCCTTTCAAGATACACATTTTTATTAAACATTTGGATGAGTACTCTAATATTGGTAATTACTCAGACCATAGAATTAAAGTGATTAGTTCTCTGGAAAGATGGGAAATTTTACTTTTATTTCTCTTGATATTATCTTTATAAAACTTTTGGGTGGGGGGATGTAGAAGGGAGTAAAGGAGGAATAGATGGTGATGGAAGCAGACTTGACCTGGGGTAGTGAATACACAATATAGTGTACAGATGATGAATTATAGAATTATACACCTGAAACCTATATAATTTTATTAACCAATGTCACCCCAATACAATAAAAAATAAATAAAATAAAAAATTTTACAATGATTTTAAAATTTCAAAGAGCAAAGTTACTTTGCACTTAGTTTCCTGAGTAGTAAATGGCAGAGTGCTCTGGAACATGTCTACGGATCTGTATGTTGTCTGTTATTACTGCAGATTTCAGAATAGAAAAGAAGCCACAGCTGTTCATAGAAGGCAAAGTGTAAGCAGACAATGCAATTTCTAAATAGCAAGGGAAGACGACTGTAAAATAGCAAGCTTCAGGAAAAACATGAAAATAAATGCCAAACAAATTTAGAAAAAGTGCAAAATATAAAAATTATGATTCAGCATAAAAATAACGTCTTTCATGCTTTTTATAAACAATGACCAGATCTTTACAAGGAAATGAATAATCTCTGTAAGAATTATAATAGGATGCACTATTCAAAAATGCAAACTTGCAATACCTTTCTTAGTTTCCATGAACTTCTCATAGCTGTCTGGGAAGTCATCTTCCGGCTTAGGCTTCTCCCCGGGCGCCGCGGCCGCCTTCCCTTCCTCCTCGTCGTCCTCGGTGAACCACATCTCCTCCTCCTCCTCCACGGCCTTGGCGTCCCTGCGGAACCTGTTGCTGCGCAGGATGGACGGCACGCTGTAAGGGAGGACCGCGGACACTGAGCGGCTGCAGTCAGTTCAAGGTGAAGTCTGAGAATAATTACTATACCCGAGGGGAGCTGAAACGATTTTACTGGGTAACATTTATATACTAAAAATTTATCTTGGAGTTTAGTTTTTCATATAAAACAATTTAGGGTAGGGAGGGTATCCACCCTCTTACATATAATGCTGTCCTATCTAGTGATAGAAAGGAAATGCCTGGTAAATTTCAGCTCCAACTACGGACAATTTTGGACATGAATTTATAGGCTATAAATGCAATATACTTAAACAATACCTGTTGAGTTTCTGATTTTGTCTGTCTTTTTCTTGCTCATATTTAGTCTTCAATCCTTTGAATGTCTGAACATATTCAATCGATTCAAGTGCTTTATAAAAGTTTTCAACTATATGTGCAGTAAGAGACTTGATATCTTCCTGTATAAGCACAAAATTTAGATTTCAAATATAATACAATGCTTGTTAGGAGGGAAAACTTAAAAATAATTCCAAAACTGATCAAAAAAGGTTTTTCAAAATCACCTTCCAAAAATAAATGTTCTAGTTTCTTTATACATGAGCCAGGACTCCACAGAAAACTTGGAAAAAAGGAGAAGCAATTCACTGGAGCCCTTTTGGGGGATTATAAAGAACATTTTGAAAGTAAGTGGATGTAGTTTATGCCTTCTGTCTATTTTTACACTTACACAGCACATCACAATTTAAAAAGCATTTTCACGTACAATTTCACTTGATCCTCCTAATTATTATACTGATTTTACAGAGAAGGAAAACTGAGGCTCTGAGAGAAGTTGGATGGCCTGATCAAGAGCACAAGGCAAATTAGAAAGCGGATTTTGAAATTATATTTTAATAAACGTTAGGTACTACTTAATGACTTCTCATTTAACATGACATCCTATCTATCAAAATGGAATAAATTTTACCTAAAATATAAACATAGATTCCTCATACTATATTACATATACAGATCAGATAAACTATTAACTGGAATACTACTTGCTTATTCCCGTCTTCTAATGGTATAATCTTTGTGAAATAAACTGGTAGTAACAACTTCTCAATTCTAAATGAACCATTCTAAATGATCACTGCAATACAGGGGTACAAAGCAGGCTCATTATTAAAAATAATTGAAGTTGCGATTTAGGACTTTAATAGTAGTAAGAAATATACAGGCCACTTCTTTTAAAGATCCACCATAATCTGACTGCATAAAGGATTTTAAGTCTTTAAGTGAGTTTCCCTGGACATCTCAATTAAAAAGAAAAAAATGCAGAGAAGGAAAATTAGAAATCTAGGTAAAATGGTCTAAAAGAAAAGTTAACCTTTGAGATTCAATGTACAATTATCAACCATTTCTATTTTCAGAAAAACAAACTCAATCACAGCAATAGGTAGGGGTTTGTGAACCCTATGACTTACTTTATTAGTATATCATCAAAAATTTTAAAGGAAAAAATGTAAAAGTTAATCTCTGATTCATTAGGACAGTGTACTGTGAATCTGGGTTGACACTTGGTGAACTTGAGCTAGTTAACTACATTTCCTCTTTTCTAAGGCTAAGGACAGTACTTCTATCCTCTTCATTCTTTTGACTATCATACTCTTGGCAAGTGACCAATATTAGAAAAACAACCCAGCTGCTCAAATAATCTCCATATGAGAACAGTATGTCATCACTAGAAATCTGATTTGTAAGAAACATAAATAGAAAATGTATTTCTAGCTTTGACTTTCTTTTTTCAAGTTCTTTCTAACCATGTGGCTAGTTTCCCTGGTGGAATGATTTCGGTGTGTAAGAGAGGGCAAATTTATTCTATCAGTTCTACAGTTACGTCTTACCCGTTATTCATTTAGAGCTCTCTCCAGGTCTTTTTCTGACAAATCTTTTGTTGCCTGAAATTGAGCTGTAACATACTTCAAACCCTGACTGTGCTCCTAACCAAATAAATGTATGATCTTGAATAGGTCATTTAATCACTTAGGTATCTCAAGTCCCTCACCTGTAAAATAAGGCAGAGTAGTCCATCTAACTCCCTGATCTCTTCAACTTAAAATTCCATGACATACTATTTTTATGCATTGCATATCAATGTCTAACAAAAGAATTATTTTCAACCTTTCTCTTCATTTTTAACACTACCCCTACAATCAATCAAAGACATCACATGAATGATATGCTTGACTGAAATGGCCACATATGACAAATTTGATCCTGAAACACTTGGCCAATAAATGGAAGATTACAGAATAAATATGGGTTAAAAGGATATGCTAAATTTCACAATTTAATATTAACATCACTAAACATATAATTATTTTACTTTACTAAGAATCCTTTAATATAAACTTACCACTCTTATAAATTCAAATAACTCAATAACAGCTGAATTTAACAGATTGTACCGAGTTCCATTATCCAGAAGAGCATTTATAACCGGCTCAAAAAGATTTCCCTTGGTGATGTAACGATTGTAAAATTCATCTTTAAGGCCAATTATCCGCCTCATAAAACGAAGAGCACCTAATTAAAAATAATTCCGGGAATAAGTCAATGATCTTACTAATTTAATCATTATACAGATATTTTTACATAAAACAATGTACATGTTCTTCTAGAATAAAAACCAAAACTGTGCACTAAAAGGTTTTGAGAAAAATACAGGGGAAGAACACTTAAAACCTGTACAACTTTAGTAGCCAGAGCTAACAAAAAAACTCAGTAAATGGCAATTTGGAGATCTATCTAGGCAGGTTAGGTCCAGAACAAAGATTAAAAAATACACAAAAATCTCAAAACACAAATGTTGGTCATACTTAGAGCAGTGTGGGTGGATATGGAGACAATGAAGTGAAAGGCAGCTCAGAAGTAGTAGGGGGCTGTCATTAAGGTGGGCACAGGAGTGGTACAAACTGTCAAGAGCCAAGATAGCCTGCCTCTCTGGGGAAGGGAGCTGTGGAGGGAGGTGCTGCTTTAAAATTTTCTGAAAACATAGCCAAAGGGGTCACTTGCTGGGTTTTAACAGAGGGCTAAATGATTTTTACTTTTCACTATTTCAACTCTCTTTGCCTTGGAAAAATCAATACCACTTCCACATTATAACATCATTCTCTTGTTTACCGATTGCTTATGAACTATTTTACCTTCAGACTATGTTTGTAAAAAAACAATAGAGTAACAAATAAAATAGTACAATTTGGCTTTTCACATTTTATAATACTGAAAAAAATTTTCCTTTTAACTAGTCTTTTCCCTAGCTAAATAAAGCTAAACAAATTTTACAATGTTACTGCTAACATTACTAAAGACTGTATTTTAATCCCTTATTATTATTTTTATGTCTCTACTGATTTTTAGAGAGAGGAAGGGAGAGGGAGAGACAGACAGAAACATCAATGATGAGAGAGAATCATTGATCTGCTGCCTTCCCCATGCTCCCCACCAGGGATAGAGCCCACAATCCATCTCCTGGTTCATGGGTCAATGCTTAACCACTGAGCTACACTGGCCAGGCTAATCCCTTATTTTTATGTTTGTTCATTCTTTAACTTGTAACCTTTCCTCTAAGTAGTTTAAATTAATCTATTGATGCCAGTAACCAAATCTTTAAAAATATAAGATTTCCAATTTTATAAGTCATCTTTCATTTCAACCCTCTGTTGATGGATGGAAGTCATTAAAAGAAGTTGTGTGACTATTGAAAGAGGTTCTAAATATTATCTGAGAATAAAACAGAAACAGGACATATAAGGTAAAAACTTATGGTACCTGTAATACTAAACAAGTGTGGAGAGAAGTGCTAGACTTATCACATCACCTCTTTTTGTGGTGGGATAAGAAATAGTTTACTTAAGATGAAAAAGAATGAAGTATTAGCAAAGATGTGAGCAAATGGGCACTCTCATATACTGCTTGCTGGTGAATGAACTGACATGCAAGCAAAGCTATAGTTAAAAACCACAATGCTTTTAACAGTAGAAATCTTGAAGCAATATAAACATTTAAATACTGGAGATTCGTTCAATTATAATATATCCATAGAAATTGAACTATTCTACAGTAATGAAAAAGGACTAGTTATAGAAAACCAGACAGAAAAGCCTACCAGGAGAACCCTTCTTAAATTAATAAAAAATTTATATAAACGGAATCAGAATGAACTAGATTAATTTTTTAAGGTACTGTGAAAGAAAAAAATGTCCAAGAAGCAAGAACATTACAAATAAGAAAAGTGAGGGAGACCCTGGCTGGGTGGCTCAGTTGGTCGGAGTGTTGTCCCACACATCAAAGGGTTGAGGGATGGTCAGGGCGCATATGGAAGGCAATGAATGGACTGATTTCTCTCTCACATTGATGTCTCTCTTGCGCACTCTCCTCCTTCCCCTCTCTCAAATCAATAGACATACCCTTTGGTGAGGAAAAAAAAAAAAAAATAAAAAATAAAAAAAATAATAAATAAAAGGTGAGGGGCACTTCGCAGATATTAAACTTTACAGCAGAGAGAGACTATAACGGCACAAAAATAAACATCCCCTTTATTTCACCTGGTGAAATAAAAGAATAGACGGCCCAGAAATAAGACACAAGTATATATGATAACTTAGTGTATAACAAAAGCGATTATTTTAATTCAGTAAAGAAACTAGTTCATTTAATAAAGATGTTTGCACAACTGGCTATCCATTTAGAAGAGAACAAAGATAGATGCAAAAAAAAAAAATTCAGATGTATTACATATATAAATGTAAAACATAAAAATATTATTGAGAATTGAGGAAATTGAGAATATTTGTATAATCTTAGGACATAGGAGACTTTCCTAAGAAAGACAAAAAACCCAAAAGCCATAAAAAGAAGAGATATATAAGAATTTTAAAATAATTATATGGAAAACAATACCATAAATAAAGATCAAAACAAAAGACAAATGAGACAGACATTTTCCCCAAAATGTGATAAAGTGGTAGTATCTCTAATATAAAAAGAGCTCTAAGAAAAAGATAACAGTTAATTCGTAACGGATAAAATACAAAAGCACTAAAATAAAAAAAAATGTTGTCAAGAAAAATGTAAATTAAAACACAAAGGAAATGGCACATTTTCCATCATCAGCTTGATAATATTTTTAAAAAAACCAGTAACACTCAGTGCTAGAAGAATGTCAAGTGCTTTAATCTTTTGGGAAAGAAATCCAGAGGCTATATATAAATATTTTATCCTGGCAATCCCATTATTGGGAATCTACCCTACGGAAAAAATCAACTAGTACATAAAAGATTTATAAACTAGACTACTTACTACAGTGTTGTTTGGAGTGGCAAAATACCAAAACAATTTTGTAACCCATGTATTAAAGAATGGTAAAGTAAATGTGGAAGAGCCACTCTAGGAAATGTTACTCAACTATGTTTAGGAAACAAAAATTGGTCCACACCATATCCAATGACCTAGAGTACTATTATGGGACTGAGAAGTGTGTTAGTATAATCCTGTTTTTGTAAAAATAAAAAAATGTGTGTGTGAATATGTTTATGTAAATTTGTACAAGTATGGAAAAACGAATAGACAAGAAATAGTGCAGGCAGTTAACAGTGGCTACTTTAAGGCCTTAAAAGTAAAGGAAGTAGCAGGGAGATTAACCTTTTCTCTACACATTAAGTTAATGCTTAAATTTAACTATAATTTTTATGCTAAGAAAAAAAGCCACAAAACTCTTTTTGTTTGGAAGGAGAAGGGAGCTTATCTATCTCTATTTGCAGGTGAAATTTTGAAGAGGAAAGAAAAACACATAGTTTGCCAAAAGTCAAAATTATTGCAAATATTTCTTACAAGTTCAATAAATAACCTGAGTTATACAAAAACATATCAAGGCCCCTATCTCAAAATATAAAGAGAGTCACTACTAAATGGCAGTTTGATGAAGCAGAGGTAAAAGACAGCAGGACTGGGTCTATTAGTGAAATGTTATCACTGCACAGGGTATTATCTCAGTTAAGCTAATTGAATCTAAATGTGAGCAAATGTGTGTGTATGGGTGAGGAAGCACTACGACCTATTCCTCTTATCCTTTAAATAAAAGATCAGTGCCTGGCCAGTGTGGCTCAGTGGTTGAGCATGGACCCATGAACCATGAGGTCACGGTTTGATTCCCAGTCAGGGCACATGCCTGGATTGCGGGCTCGATCCCCACTGTGTGTGTGTGGGGGAGAGGGGGGTGCAGGAGGCAGCTGATCAATGACTCTCATCATTGATGTTTCTATCTCTTCCTTCCTCTCTCTGAAATAAATGAAAACATATTTAGAAAATAAACATAAAAGATCAGTATTTCTCACAGTCATCTTTTTTTAAAAAATATATATATTTATTAATTTCAGAGAGAGGAAAGGAAAGGGGGAGAGAGAAATAGAAACATCAATGATGAGAGAGTCATTGATCGGCTGCCTAGCCTGTGCAACCCGGGCATGTCCCCTGACCAGGAATTAAACCCCGATCGCCTGGATCCTAGGTCGACGCTCAATTGCTGAGCCATGCCCGGCCAGGCTCTCATAGTCATCTCTTTCACAGCATATATACTGCTAAAAAATAAATTCACATGGGTAACTTTGGCTTTTATCTCTATAAAAAATGTTGTTCCTTTAAACATTTTAGTAGACTGTTCACTTAAATTGCTACTTACACAATGCCAGGAAAGTGTGCTTTGAATTCATCAAGACCAAGACTCTTCTTAGCAAATCCTTGTTCATGATATAGTTTTTTATGTGATATGTGTGATGCTCCACACAAAATGTGAGTAGTTCCAAAATTAAGGCAAGCAGCTGTGCTGTTTGGTAATTATCTGCAAAGAAAGTCATCACATGAAAATCAAATATTGCAATACATTTGAATAAAGCTTTTATCCCAGATTTTAGAGCAAAAGTAAAATTTTATTTCCTTCTCATTTTTATATTAAAGAAGCTATATACATTTTTACTTTTTCATTAGGCAGACTCTCCAGAAGCACTGTCAGTTTCACCTACTAACTAGATACTTTTCTAAGGCTCCTGTATAAAATATTTAATAACTTTAAGAGGAAAAAAGAAACCTCAATAAAGATATACCAACATGATAATAAAACCCTCAATGTACTGAGATTTTCTTTAAGACATGCTTTAATGATTAATATTAATAAATCTATAAAAGGGCCCACAATAAAGATGAAGTACCTCAAACTTTTTGCCTAAAGTGGTGCAATGCAAAATTCCCAAGAAAAAATAATATGCTTTCTTTAAAGATATCTTTAAGGAAAGGATATTTTTGGCTACTTGAATATCAAGTGAAAACTGTTATATGAAGATTTTTTTTTAAAACACTAATCTTTTTAACATCCAACCATAATATCCCTGAGAGGTCTACTGAAACGCACTAGCTTTATTCTCAAGTCTTTGGTTTATACATTCGTGGAATGATTTCAAGCTGCTTCCTGAGCATCAAAATTGAATATAATTGAAGAGCTAATATAGGTAATTACCTACACCTATTATAAATGTTTTAGATTAGGAAATATTAAACTGTGAGCAATTTATGGAATCACAGTCCTATAGAATAGAAAAAAATAACTGACATCATGTAGTACAACTATTTTATTTTTCAAGAAGATGATACACAAATATTTTGTGGAACTATGTTTCTATTAGGAATAAATTAACATTCTTTTTAATAACAGAACAACCATTAAGTATACAAAATACAATTCTGGTATTTCAAAGATCTTTTCTACTTTAAATCAAGTAAAGAGTTTTAGTTGCTCCAGACAGATTACAGCAAACACTTGAACTAGTCCCTTACAAATAAAAACAAACTCATTTAATTTCTCAATTCTAAAATTTTATATATAAAAGATTTTGCAACAATGACCTACAGTGTTAATTAAATGTCTTATTTTCACTTTCCCAAGTTAGGACATGAAATTAGTTATCCAATATCTGAACTGTCTCCTTATTTGAAACTGGTTTTCCTAGAGCTTTGATGAACCCAGTTGAAGAGAAAGGATGCTGGGTACACAAAGGCATATTTTCTATACTACCAGGCCCATACCTGGTATGCATGTTACAAGTAAAAACAACACTTTACACTCAAATTCACAAATAAAACTTAAACATAAGACTGTATGAATGCTAATTCCTAACTAATTGGTCTTAGTTTACTAAATTTCAAAACAAGCATGAACTAAATCATCAATGTTCAGATGCTTCTCAAAAAATATCAGAAAATAAGTTCTAAATCTACAGAAAAAACACAAAAACAAAATTCAAAATAGTTTTCCAGTTTTTACATTGGAGAAAGTGGACTATTTTCTTTGTAATAAAGAAAAAAGTGAACGTATTTTTGTATTCTGTTTTTGTTGAAAATATGCCTTTCTTAACCTTGTACAAATGTATTGTACCCTGAGTAGAAAAAAGTTTACTATTTGCATTAGGTTCATAAAATAAAAATTTATACTTACCAGGACAAATCGTGCTGTTTTTGTTAGATCCAACTATATTATCTAATAAAAAAAAATTAAAATCAGTTACTTCAGTAATAATATCCCATATTTCCCTGGCATTACAATATATAAAGCACATCTTTGATCATAATTTCATTTTACCCACATAATAACCACCAAGAATTAGTTGCTTCAGTCAAATATCATACTTCTATCTGCCATCTTTTACAGAATTTGGTACAGATGACAAGTTATTAAAAGGCAATATCATAAATGTTCTGATAAAAAATGAGATTACAACCAGAGAAGACTGATATATCATCTTTTATCTTCACTCAGTCATCCTCCACCAATCTAAATATGTCTCTCCATATAGATAATTCTTAAATTTTATAACAACACAAATGGTAACAATAGATGCTTCATGCTTTGAATTTTTTAAAAGACAAAATAAGTGGAACATTTTAAGTAAGTTCCAATTTCTTGGCACACATCATGGGGCATATTTGTGTAGAGAAATATAAGGATGTATATTGCAGCACTGTTTGTAACAGCAAAAAGCTAGAAACAAATGTACATTAGAAGCAGAATGGCTGAATTACAGCATACTCATACAAGAGAATACTACATAAGAATTAAAAATAAATAAGAACTCTAGGAATCAATAAAGAGAGTTCTCAAAAAAAGCAGTGGGGCCCTGGCAGGTGGCTCGGGCACACCAAAAATGTTGTGGGCTCAATTCCTGGTCAGGGCACAAACCTAAAGTTTCAGGTTCAATCCCAGGTTGGGGTGCGTACAGGAGGCAACCGACTGATGTTTCTCTCTCTCTCCTCCTTCCTCTCTCTAATGCATTATACATATTATAATAAAATAAAGGAACTTAGGGGTGATAAATTCCAAATTCAGCATTCTTTGAGGGATGGAGGTGGGTAGGGTGGAATGAGAATGGGAGAGCTAATAGGAAATATATGGACGTCTGTTAAACTATTATCTAAGTATTTCTGTATGCTAGAGTGTTTTAAATTAAATGTTAAAACTGCATTTATTTTCATTTATATACATGGAACCATTCTGCAATAAAATGTTTTATGATGTTTTACCCATTCAGCTTTACATTTCTGAGAACTAGTCAGATGACAGATCAATATTCAATTACTCTAACAGCTATATAGTATTCCATTATATGCATATGCCACACTTTAACTTTCCTACCATGAATAATGCAACAACATTCTTGTACTTGTCATGCTTATGCACAAACCCTCCCTAGGATATATACTCAGAAAGAGAGTTGAGATATTATGTGGGTGTGCCCATTCTACAACTTTATTAGTTTAGTATACATTCTCTTAAGTGACTCAATAAATTAACCAACAGTCGCAGAGAATATGTCCTACACATATCTCCCTTCACAAGTTGAGTTTTATTCTGATCAGAGTCAATTCTTTGTTTATGCTAGTTATATTTGGTAGCATGATTACATTCTTTAAATATTGCAGACTGATGAAATACAGATTTACAAAATACAGAAAGATAATACAGGAACTACCTAAAACTATATAGTAAGATTCTATACTCAGACTGTTTAAAAAATATCTTTAGGTTTTCACTCTAATAAACTGAAACCAGAAATATTAGCTGATGAATTATGGGTATAGTTTATACAAGAAAGACAGTATGGAAACACAATAAAAAACACATTGGAAAAAAAAGGCCTTGAGCTTGTACAAAAAAAAATTGGCAAATAAGTTAACATTTAGAGTAAAATGCTTATAAAGAATTTATTTTCATTTGCTTTCTGCTTTAATCACATCAGCTCGATTAACCCATCAGCTTCTGATCCTTACGTTGTGAAATCAGAAAACTTACTGTGCTGCCAAAATGATGGTATCCTTGACTTTTCAAATATAGGCAATAATCTGTCTGCTCTTATTCTAGAGATCAACTCTAACAACTTTGGGAACAATTTCCGTTTTCTACTAAGTGTTTACATCTCTTCCTCAAGGTGTAATACTTTTTGCCACATTTCTGCCACAGACAGAAATAAGGAAAATCATGATTTTATACTGCAGTTTAGATCTTTCAGTAGTAATTTCCCTGTCATATAAATAACTAAGTAAACCGCCTGTTAATTATAATACTTATTTCACTCTTTATAAAAACAGAAATCATAGGCTGATAAGTAAGAGACCCTACCCTTTTCACATTTGTCTTCTGAAGTATTGGTCAAAAGCGGTGCTGTGAGGACATGCATACAATGGTTGTAGAAGAAATTCAGAAATTCACTTTTTTCAGTTTTCTGAAACATACAGAATTTAAAAAGTACTTTATTACCTTTATAATTAATAAGACATCGTCCAGAATTAGCAGTGTAAAGAAAAAAAAGAATTAGCAATGTGGGTCATACACAAACAACAGATACTTTAAGATACTGTGAAAGGACCAAAAAACAATTATATTCATCTTAATCTTACTTGTGCAGAATTTAAAAATCAAATCTGTTTAATATTACAAATAAAAATGAAAGGGATAAAAAGATCAGATAGTATGAAAAAGTTGTTTTTAGGAAATTATTCAGAGCAATTCTTTTCAGATATGCTATGATCTGAAATGCAATGAAGAATCTATCAGGCAGTGTAAGAGCAACTAAACTGCTTAAAAGTGATACCCAGATTTCACAATGTATCCAAATTTGAAAACCCAACAAATTGATTTATCCATCCATTAGAAACAGAATATAATTTAGATCTATTTTTAAAATTAAAAAAAATCTTATTATTTAGAAATTTGGAAAATAATGCCTTTTGAGTTTATGGGCTACTACTTTTTTATACAACTGGTTCTATATATTTGTATATAATCTAAAAATAATATACATGTTCTCTAAATATGAGGGAATTTTATAAAGAAAAACTATCCCACTATTAATATTTGGGGATAGTTCCTTAAGTCAATTTTTTAATGACTTCCTTTACTAGGTAGTTGAGACCATTCAGTACATATTTTTTCCTTTTTTATTATAATAAAAAAAAAAAAGCTTACCATTTAACCATTACTGTTTACAGTTCAATAGTGTTAAGTATATTCACATTGTTGTATATTAATTTTTAAGAAGTTAGCCCTGGCTGATGTGGCTCAGCAGTCAGACCATTGGCCTGTGCACCAAAGGGTCTTGGGTTTGATACCTGGTTAAGGGCACATACCTGGGTTGCAGGTTTGATTCCCAGTCCTGGTTGGGTGCATGCAGGAGGCAACCAATTGATGTGGTTTTTTTCCTCTCTCTCTTGCACTCCCTTTCCCCCTTCCTCTCTCTCTAAAAATCAATGGAAAAAAATATCCTTCGGTGAGGATTAACAGAAAAACAAAAAAGAAGTTAACTTAGTTAACTTACAGGAGCCAAGGGTCATAAACAGAAGTGCTAACATTTCACTAAGATTTTACAGATTACAAGATTGTATTTTGCTCCAAGTGAACTGCTATAGGAATACCACTGCTACTTGAATACCAAGTATACAAATACTTAAGTATTTATTGTTTTTCAAAATTGTACACATTTTCAAAAATTTTATATTTACATATAATTTATATAAAAAACATCTACAACTGACTAGATCAAAACTTTTTTTTTAACCTCACAGTAATTTCTTACGTTAGTTGTAGCCAGCATGTTCTCTGGATCAATCAGAGTACGAAGAAGTCCCATTAACTGAACAGCACCTCCTAGCTCAGGATCAGTATCACAGATCATTTGTTCAATTACTACATTAATGAGAAGGATATCCTGAAAGAAAATGTTTCCATTAGACCTGGTTTAGAAATATGACAAATATACCAGCTGAAAGAACAAAATCAGAATCACAAAGAAAACCCCCCAAAGAATATATTAACTTATTTAAGATCTTTTCTTCCTAATCTTTTTCAAAGTTCTATAAACACAATAGAGGAAAAAAAAATCCACTTAAAAAGAAAAGTAGAGCATGCTACAGCTTACAATACCATTAGTATAGGGAAGCGGAAAATAAAATCATTTACCAGTGATTCTTGTTGAGTGGAGGTTCTAACGGATTCTCATTCTAGATTTCAGTGTCAAGTATGAATTTAGAAGTTGATTAAACAAGCAATATTGCACATCACATGAACCCCCAAAACACAATTTGTCTCAGCTTCTAACTGGAAGATCCTTTCTAGCAAAATAATGAGAAAAAAATAACCCAGTACACAGTTCTCCAAAGGAGGTGAGTGTACCCATATGTGTTATATAATGATCTAAGGCCAAATAGAGTTTCTGGTATATTAGCAACATGCTCTTGGGTCTTAATTAATATACAGAGCTACAAAGTGGCTTGTAGTTACAAAATTTGTCTTCTGCTTATATTTTTAAAGTAGAAATCTTGAGCATTAAATTAGGATACAAAATGATTATTCATATCAAAAAGTTCTGACATCAATTCAGTGGATTTGAAAATATGTTTATTACTGAGGGAAGAAAGGTAGTTCTGAAGATGAAAAAAGGGTATTGTATGGAATGAAGACAGATATCTTAAATTGGGAGAATTCTGGAAAGTAATAAATAGAAAGCTTCAGTATAAAGCACTTTTTGTTATTATTTTGTTTTGCTAGCCCTTCACAAACAATACACTGTTATCCAAAAATAATATATCCCTGTGAATTGTTTGCTTGTGAACTTAATGCAATAAAAGAACCAACAAAACCAAATCATAGCAACATAACTGCTTAAAATTAGAATACTATCCTCTACCATGTTTCAAATAGCAACATTTGAGTGAGTTTAACTACAGTTTCTAGGAGGTATTTCAATGCTTTAGTTACTTCTAAATCAAGGTTTTAGAGAAATGATATTCCTACTGGTTTTATCACACTCAAACCTCATACTATTCTTAGAACCAAATACTTTTGTTTTAAAAGTATATTTAAGTGGGCTTAAGAATTTTGTTATATTGTGAAAAATAATTAGCAACAAAGGGGAAGTTCTGGGTACCTACACATGGAGTTCGGAGATTATCCAGGTTAAGAGCTGGTATCTCTATTTTCTGATTGGGAAAGATAGAGAACATACTTTATTTCATTGCTTCTGAGACAGATTTCTTAAAAATTTTAACTTCTTAATATTGAGATACATTTTCTAATCTATGGAATTAGACAGTTACTATTAGCCCAGTGGCAATAATGCATGATAAAGTTATATGAAAAAATTTTCACTGACACTTTCTAGTAAGATCAAGAAAACATTAGCATTCTGTATATCTTAGATTCCATAAATGTAGAAAGTAAGAGAAAGAAAGAATGGCAAGGGCAGGAAGAATATTCTGAAGTAGAATAAAAATAGCTGTTGATGTTGGGGAAACATTTCCAATTTTTGTTTTTTTTAAAAATAGAAGTGTAATAATTTAAAAAAAAAGGTCATGCACATGAAATTTACTCTGCAGCAACTTGAATGAAGGCTACAAATATTATAGAATAGTTCTTCCAACCCATTCTCACAAGTTAGAAGAAAGCAACAATAGTTCCTCAAATTTGACAGAACTTTAATGGTCCAATTCCTCACATTTGTGAAATGGCAAAATGGCCCAGACAAAGAAATCTGAAACACTTTTTTTAAAGTTGATGGAATTTCTTGATACAGTGCATTGAAGGAAATGTTACTTCTGTACTATTCCTGAGACAAAGAAATAACCTAAAGTGAATCATGAGCAAACATCAGACAAATCCAAATTGTTGACACTAGACCAGAAACGTTTCATTTTTGTCTAGGCTAAAGAGGGCATTATTGGGACAGCTGACAAAATCTGAAATTAGGACTGTAGTTAAATAAAGTAAAAATGTTAATTTCCTAATTTTGATAATTATAGTGTGGTTATGTATGTAGAGTTTTTAGTTGACACTGAAGTAAATATGGGTAAAGGGATATTGTGCCATCATTTCTGTACCTTCTTCTTCAATGGTTCAGAAAAAAATATATATATGTAAAAGTGTATATACAAATACCGAGCAAAGAAAGAGAATGATAAAGCAAATGGGAGACAAAATGTTACTAATTGGGGAATCTGGGTGAAGTGTATGTGGGAGTTCTTTGTACTATTATAACTTTTCCGTTAATTTAAAATTACCTCAAAATAAAAAGTTAAAAAAAAGGATGCAGTTTTAAGAAATAAAATGTGACATTGTTCAATACAAATGAATTTATTCCTAAGTGAGAAATACACTGAAAATACTTGCCAAAATAAGCAGTTCAGTAATAGCTGTATTACTTATCCAGTCAGATTCTAAAATAAGTTTTACTGGATGTTTCAAAGGCCATTAGCATAAAAATCTGTGAAATCTGTGGCATAACAAAAAAGACAGCAATTACTGCTAAATCTACCCTTACAGCTTGGATAGAAATAATGACTACAGTAAAAAATGTTAATATTTCCTACTGTCCCAAAACACGTTAATATCGCTATCAATGATCCTAAAATCAACTCTGTTCCATACTGTTAGAAAGAACTTGAGTCTGAATGCTGTGCATTTATTTTAAAAGAACATCAAAATATCAACTGCCCACTGAATACACATGGAAGTTATTTCTTTTTTCTTTTTAAAGGTTGCCACCAACCCAATATAGAATTCAGCATGTAGGATCCTTTATTTTGAAAATTAAAAAAAATTATTTATCCTCTTTTACTGGCTAAGAATTATTTTGAGGCAACAAAAAATTCAAATTATAAAATTGTTAAATATCAGAAAACTCAAGGAAATGAAAGGCTTTGAAGACTGTGATTGTAAGAAAAAGAAAAACTGTAGTTAAAAATCAGTAACTGCTTCTCTAAGTTTCATGCATCAGTTAAATGTAAACAAGAAAATAATTCTACAAACTAAATGAACAAACAAAATTGAGACAGAATCACAGATACAGAGAATAGACTGATATGGTTGCCAGGGAGGGGTTGGGGGACTGGTTGAAAAGGTGAAGGGGTTAAGAAGTACAAATTGGTAGTTACAATACTCACAGGGATGTCAAGTATAGCACAGGGAACATAGTCAATAATATTGCAGTAACTATGCATGGTGCCAGGTGGGTACTGGAAATAGTGGGGGAATACTATGGAAAGTATATGACTGTCTAGCCACTATACTGCACAAATGAAACTAATGCAAAATAATACTGAACGTAAACTGTAACTGAAAAATTAAAAAACAAAATAGTTCTAATGAAAACAGAAAGTTAAAATTCTTTTTTTGTTTCTTTATTAATCTGTTCCTCAGGATATTTTTTCCATTGATTTCTTGAGAGAGTGGAAGGGAGGGGAAGAGGGACGGGGAGAGGAAAGGGGAGGGAGAGAAAGAGAAAGAGAGAAACATCAATGTGAGAGAGACACATCAATTGGTTGCCTCCAGCACACCCCCAACTAGGGCCAGGGATTGTACCTGTGACCCAGGTAGGTGCCCTTGACCTAGAATTGAACCCCAGATCCTTTAGTCCAAGGGCTGACACTCTAACCACTGAGCAAAACCAGCCAAGGGTGAAAGTTAAGAATTCTTAAAGTTAGTTGCTTACTCTTCTTATGGTCTGAGAGATTTTTAGGATGAATACCTTTAGTCATACTCATCACAAAGGATGGAACACTGAGTATTAATTTCAAAATTACCTTTTATAAAGGATGTCACTAAGATAACATCAACAATGAGATAAACTCGGCGTTTATTTCTTTAATGTCAGATTAGCATTACTTGGGTTAAAAAAAAAATCTTAAAATACTTAACACAAAATATGTCTTCTATTTCTTTTCTACCATTTAAACTATACCATTACCCCACACTGATTCTAAATAAAATTGCTTTAAAAAGAAACTGGAAATATCTATGAAAAACAGACATAAAAATCTAAGTTAAGAGATCAAAACATATAAAACAGCTGTAGTTTAATTTAATAATAACTCATACAAGGGTCAAATTAACATTGGAATTAAAAACCTTTAAGAAAGGACATCATAATATTTTAGTTATTTTTCCACTTAACACTAAAATACATTTAATATAAGAAAGTATTTAAAATGATAGCTATATGTTTATTTTATCTTAAAAGTAGTATAAGGGGAAAGTGTAAATATTTCTGTAGTGGGGAAACACAACATTGCTCTCATTATTAAACATTCATTCCCACTTAAAAAAAAATACACATCTGAACATAGTGAAAGTAACTTATTAGTTATACTAGGTAAGTGCCTGACCTCTGAGGCTTGAAATGATATTTCATTAGCACTTGAAACATTTAAGACCGGCATGTAAGAATCTGATTCTATGAAAATCTATTTATCTCAATCTCAATACTAGCTTGAGTATCTTTTTTTTTCAAGCAGTCAATCCAATTGCCAACTGAATACAATGCAAATCAATTGGTACATATTCTGGGCCTTCCAAAGACACAAATTATCAGAAATCTATTATTTTGCTTCATAAAATATTAAGATAATGGCCATACTTTTTCTCTCAATAGTTTGCAAACACTACTCTACAGGTAATTCACATAGAACCAGAGCATTATTACTTACATCATCACTCTGCTGGGCTTCTTGCATTACAAACTCCCGGACCATGGATGGACTAAACTCTACTAGGTAAGAAAATATATCTGTAGCAGCTGATCTGACTTGCAAATCATCCATGCCCTGATAAAAGGAAAATTAGGTTACTTAGAGACTGTTAACAAATGCTATGCTTGTGTTTTTCTTTTTCCCAAATCTATGTACATCCTCAACTTTTTGGATTTAATTGTACAGGAATCAAAATATATAACCTCTCTATCCTTTTCTTCCTTTCCTTTTACAAACATTAAAAACTTTTAGGCAGCTCAATGATTAGTTTCTGCCAGTTTTTACCACCACAAAAATAAATACTTAGAGAATTTAAATACAAGAATTACCACAGGGCTATAAAGCAATGCTTTACAAATGCTGTAACAAAATGTTGGGTTCTTTTGGAGGGGAGTTGAGGGGAAGAATTCTTGATTTAAACATATTCAAAATTGTGAATGATGTCTCCCACTGAAGTCTTTAAAACCTTCCAGAACCTGTCTTTGGCCCTGGATTTGCCAGTTACTTTACACCTTAGTAACTGATTCTCTCTTATGATTCTCCTAATAGAGGATGCTTTGGAAAACACTTTGGGTATTTTTACTCTTTTTCACAACTTAGTTTTCTAAGGTAGTGATTCTGAAGGCTTTTCCCCTTTCAATACAGGAAGAATACATGATTCGTAACTTACAAAATCTTTAGGTTATTCTGAAAACATCCTATGACTCAGCAGTTCTCAAAGTGTGGTCCAGGGAATTTTGGCAAGGAGTCTCAGACTCTTTTCAGGAAGTGCAAGAGATTAAAAGTACTTTCATAATAATAAATAATACTTGGGCATTTAATGGCCTTTTTCACTCTCAGTCTATCATAAATATAGTTGGTTTTTCAAGAGGCTACATGACATGTGATATCACAACAAATTAAATGCAGAAGCTGCTATGAGACTCAAGCTATTTTCTACTAAGCCAGACATTAAAAGGATTGGCAAAAAATATGAAACAGGCTCTGGCCAGGCAGCTCCGTTGGTTAGAGCGTTGTCTGGATAAGCCAAGATCAGGGCACATACAAGAATCAACCAATGAATGCATATTAAGTGGAACAACAAATCAGTGTTTCTCTGCCTCTGTCTGTCTCTTTCTCTTTTAAATAAATCAATAAATTTTAAAAATTGTTTAAAAAATATGAAATAATGCCATTCTTTCCACTAACTATTGTTTTGCTTTGGAAAAATTATTTTTTTCATAAAAGTTATATAAATACTTTAAAATTTTCTCAATTTTAATTTTTCATATAATAAATACCAATAGATAAAATTCATAAACAAAAGCATGAAAACCATTGCCCTAATACCGTATTTCAGCATGAGCCCCTTTGATTCAGCCTGCCCTCACTCTATCACTGGTCTAAAAAGGAAAGACGTTTTATTAGCTTCTATGAAATATCCTTAATATTGTTACAGAACATACCGTCTTATAAAGACATGCGGGATTTTTATTCATCTGAAGCCATTTTATATGCAAGTGATTACATATTAATATTATAAATTTAAGTTAATAAAAATCTGAAGATTGAAAACACTCTTGTATAACTCACTATCAAGAGAATCATAACTTAAATTATAAAATTCAATATGCATTACTATAATAAATACTTTGTATCCATGATATAAATTTATTATAAATTCACAATTTTAAAAACATGAAGAAAAGCTATACAATTACCATTACAATTTCAAGAGCAGGAAGAATCCCCAATTTTGCCAAAGTTTTGAAAAATGCATCCCTGTTTTGAGGTTGTAATGTCTGAGAAAATGTGCAAAATTCCTTGAAAAAATTCACCTGTAATGTTAGAAAGTACAGTGAGACATTGACACACATAGAAGTAAATTTAAAGCACACCATAATGTGATCAACAACAGTGTAGCATTCACCCTTCTGAAGAACCTTGACTTTTCAGGGTATCCTGACTCCTTAAAACTTACATCAAAGAACATATTAGAAGCTAAAATCCCATTAAAAGTAAACCTTGCATTCAGCAATTACCTCTCTAAAGACATTATGGTGTACACGTTATACGTGGAGCCTCAGAGGGCATGCATATACTTATATATGTTATTCTCTATTTCTGATTAAGTTGTAAAAATGCCATGTAAGACAGATATTTTGAATTAGAGCACACATTTTCACAGAAGCCATGCTATAATAAACAGTGGACAGGTTTCTAGGGAGCCCTCAAAAGTATGACTCAGGTTTTAAGAATTGGAAAGGACACTACAGATTCCCTAGTCTAAAGGGCTAGAAAATTGGGTAGGCTATTAATAACTGCACCAAAAGTGACTTGGCTGATTTTAAGTCAGCAATCTTTCATTACTTCTTAAAACCCAAATATCTAATTATAATTTTGAAAAATTGATAAACTGCTGATAAACAGCAATCACTACTCTCTTCCCCCAAGGCAAAGTTTATATATCAAAAAAGTGATTATAATAAACACATTCGTAAGAAAAAAAAATTTCCAAGAAGCAATTATCTAATTCATTTATTTAAGAAGCATTCTCCTTACTATTTCTTTAAAAAGAAAAGCATTTCCATAATGTATCTACAACCAAGAAAATGTGTGAGTTTGTAGTTCTGTCTTAACATAAACCACCTATCTGATTTTGGGATTTATAAGGAACACAATTTCCCTTNACAACCAAGAAAATGTGTGAGTTTGTAGTTCTGTCTTAACATAAACCACCTATCTGATTTTGGGATTTATAAGGAACACGGAAGGGGGACACATCAAAATTTCTTAAGAAATTTCTAAAATATATAAAACAATAACTTTAAGAAACAGAATAATTACTTATAGTGTAATTTCACATCTTTCACCTCATACTCTAATTGTAAAAAATTCTCTTTTAAGTTAACAAATTCAATATTAAAATCCTGTATGCCAAATGAGTAAGTGCTCTTTTTAAGGGTTTAAATTTCAAGAATAAATAACTTACCAATTCACGCCGTTTGTCATCATCTGTAGCCTCATCTGTTAATTGTGCAAATACTTCAGACAAAAACTTCTCATCTTCCTACATGAGAAAAAAATGTTAATTTTTAAATTAACATTAATTACTATGAAATATTAAAGGCATAAATTATACTCATTTTTATGATATAATAATTCCAGGATATATTCATGTTATAATTTTCAAAACTTGACTATACCATTCATTATTAGTTATATATACATTTAACCAGAAACTTCAATTATAAAGAACTCTTTGGAAAACAAAAATATTCTAGAAGTCATCCATAAACACTCATTTGCTTTAACTCAGAACCTCTTTAGCTCCCCCTCAGGGTGTATTTACTCTTTAATTTAAACATAATTCAGGTAAGTTTAAAGATTTCATTGTCAGTCCATAGCAGATTAAACAATATAGTTTTTTGGTGTGCTGCAGAATTTTAGTAATTAGTTTATATGTGCCATGAGATGAAAGAGACTGAAAATTGCTGGTGTAGAGTCTCACATGTTCCATGGTCCCCAAGGATACCACTAAACAAGGAAACACTACAATAACTGCTTTTCATACTGATGAGATGAAAAAGATTGAAAATCACTGGTGGAATCTTACAACTAAATGACAAAACATTACAATAAATGCTTTGCATAGTGAACCCATTCACCATTTTTAGAATTAGATCAGGCTTTAAGAGATTACCTAGAGACTACCTAGTCCAATTTTAAATTTCGTAAGAATGAGTTCCAAAGAGTGGACTTACCTGAGGCTAGCTAGTGACAGAGATAGATTTATAATCCAAGTCTCTTGCATAATGAGGTTTTCGTCACTCCTACCCAATAAAATGAACTACAGAATAGATCCCTAAGTAGTTCAAAGTTATGAAATAAACGAAAGCAACACACATACATACACACACACACTAGAATGGGACAAATCTAATAAGATAACATTTAATATGTTCTGTGTTTTTTTAAAATATATCTTTATTGATTTCAGAGAGAGAAAGGGAGAGGGAGAGAAATATCAATGACAAGAGAGTCCTCACTGATAGGCTGCCCCCGACTGGGGATTGAGCCTGCAACACAGGCATGTGCCCTGACAGTCAATCGAACCTCATCTCCTGGATCCTAGGCCGATGCAAAACCGCTGAGCCACACCTGGCCGGGCATAAGATAACATTTAATATTGTAAATCCTATACTTGAGGCCAACGCCTCTAAAACAAAATGAAGAACCATATGTTTACCATTAGTCGTTTTCACAAAGATTTTACATATTTAATTAGTAATCAGAATGAATGGCTAAACATTTCTTTTTCACTGCTGAAATCTTGATATATGCAAAATATGTCAAAAAGAACTAAATCACTGATCTTACTGGATTTGTTTTTAGCTCAACTCTTATCTATGGAACAGTGGAATTATATGTAATATGTTTAAAATGTCAACATTTAAGAGACCTGTCCTCCATCATTTCTAGAGAAGGAAGAAGTTACAACTTCTTGTTCTGAAAAAGATCTTAATCTGTAGCTGTTCACGTGGACATAACTTCATTTTATTGGCTTTTAGGAATTTAATTTGCAAACATTTTAAGGTATATTTCTCAATTCTGGGAACAAGGGATTTTGAACTTCAATTAGCTAGAAAAGTTCAGGTCAACAAAAATCTATGCCTCTATCATGCTAAAGGCAATCTCAACATATATTAGAGTATATTCTAGGAGCCAGTGACCACACTAAATAATTTCTCCGTTACTTAACCTAAGTTAATCTAGGAGTTATGTACTTTTACACTACCTCATTTTGGCCCAGTTAGCTAAAATTCTTACATTCACTTGCCTTGTGTAACTCATGTAACAGCAGGTTAATACTCATTTAAGAAGCTACAGATATGTATACTAATTAGCCAGAAGGGTTATCTGGAAACACCGAATACCTAGCCACAAAATTTTTACATGGAAATCTTAGAGTTGAGTTGTAGGAAATGAGACTTTAGAGGTCAACAGCCATAAGCTTAATTATTTTCTTCTCATACACTGTTGGAAGCAGAATTCTGCATCATGGCTGGTACATAAGAGATAAGTGGTAAGCCCTAAACAACAGGTAATTTACAGTATCTGGCTATTTTATTAAATGCATCTCATGGACCAGAAATGAAGATTTTCCTTTTTTAAAGCTATACTTGATTTATATACTTATAGCCTTCACAAACAAACCTGTGAAAACATATATAAAATGACAAAGTGTTACAAATATTTATAAATTAGTTTGTGTAATTTATTTTTTTAAATCATAAAAGAGCATTGACTTACGGTTTTGGCAAACCTTCTGAAGTCAAAAGCAGTCATTTGAAATTCACAGTGCAGCTTCTGTCACTGGGTTCTTTTACGTAAACTATATTGACTGTGGGCCCATTTCCTGACTTTTTTTTTTCTGTCAGGAAGTGAAATGGGAACCTGAATTGTACAGTATGATTTTTAAAAAGCAGGTCCCATATATTGTAAATGAAATGTAATGTATAGGTCTAACTTCCCTCACACTTTTACGGTAGAACAACGAAAAACTGCTGGGTGAAAGAATGATCTGGAGAATGAAATACTATATGAAAAGTAAAGTAACAATAATAGAAAGTTGAATAATGGTTGGAAGTGTCATAAAATGGAATCTTATAACTAAATACTAAGTCAGAGATTCTCAATTTTTTGGTCTCAGGACCCCTTTAAACTCTTAAAACTTACTGAGGGGCCCAAAGAGCTTTTATTATGTGGGTTATGTTTATCAATTCTTACCATACTTAAAACCAAGACATTCAAAAATATTTATTAATTCATTTAAAAAGTATTATGTTTATATAAATATTTTTATGAGAGAGAACTATATGATTCCAAATTTTAAAAATTTAGAAACAAGACTGGCTCTGTTTTACATTCTGGCAAATCTTGTTAATGACTGGCTTAACAGAGGACAGCCAGATTCTCGTTATCTTCTTCAGCAGTCTGTTGTGGTGTGTTATTTGGGTTGAAATATAGTGAAGAAAATACAGCCTTACACTGAAATGAAGCTGAAAAGGGAAAACGTCAAAGACCTCTCTAAAAGGGTTCCAGGGACCACCAGCGGTCCACAGACCATATTTGAGAACCCACTACACTAAGTATACAGTAGCTGCTCAATAAACTTAGTGACTCATATGGAAATAGCAAAGAGTTACATAGGATGCTGTGCATATACTATACTATCACCACAAGTAAAGCAAACTCTTCAAAATCATGTTTACTACACAGGGTATAAAAGATTAACAGGATAAACATGTTGCAAAACTCCTATTTTACAACTCAAAGAGACAGAATAAAATCAACCCCACACAGCAAATAATGTGACTAATTATCATTTCCTGAAAATTAATATTTCTCAATCCTGGCTGCACATTTTAATTATTTGGGCAGCTATAAGCACTCATATTTATACATATCCCAATAATAACTAAATCTCACAAAACGGAATAAACGGTGATTTAAAAACAGCCGCCGTGGCTCAGTGGCTGAGCGTCGGCCTATGATCCAGGAGGTGATGGTTCGGTTCCCAGTGAGGGCACATGCCCAGGTTGCAGGCTCGATCCCCAGTGAGAGGTGTACAGGAGGCAGCCGATCAATGACTCTCATCATTGATGTTTCTACCTCTCTCTCCCTCTCCTTTCCTCTCTCTGAAATCAATAAAAAACACACACAAAAAAACCAGAACAAAACAAAAGAAAAACAAACAATAAAAATCCAGCTGCTCTTGTTTGGGATGATAAAAAAATTCTGAAAATGGACAGAGGTGAATGTACTTAATGTTACGAATCCTACACTTAATGGTTAAAATGGTGAATTTTATGTCATGTATATTCTACCACGATTTTTATAAAGGAAAAAAAAGGTTAAATAAAACCCAGCTACATCATAGGACAATTAAAACTATAAAAGGTCACATTAAGAAATTATTCTCCTTCAGAAAGCCAAGAGATAAAGAAAATAAATCTTTCAAAAAGAAGGAATGAACAGCAGCTTGAACTATTATTAAAACTAAACATCTGAAAACAAAATTGTGAAGAACATCTTAGTTTACTTACCTGCAACATGCTGACTATCTCAACTTTGTTGAAGAAAATAAAAGATGTAAGAGTAGAGAGAAAATTCTCCTCAAAAACAGATGGTGTAGGCAAAATGATGTCCTGAATGTACTGTACCCTGTAAGTCTGATGTATTTTTTGCCTTAGTTCAGAGTCTGTTATTGGTATAACTTCCTTAAACTTTGCAGTTTTGGTCAGGAATTCTCTATGCCTTTTTGGCTGAGACAAAGCAGGGTCATATTCAAGGCATCCCACGACATCCATGATACACTCGTCAGAAAACATTACCTCAAACAGAGTTGCCTTATTTAGGAATAAGATTCCTCTAATAATTTCATACAAATGGTGTAAGCCTTCAGTGTTTTCTAGGTTCTCACAAGCTTGGAACAGCTGCAGTAGTTTTTTAATGTAGCCTTCATTTTCCAAGGCCAGAGCCAGCTTTTCCCTACGGATAGGTGAGGAGAGAACTGAGGTAACTAAGTCAGCAATCTCTTCAAGTTTATTGAGTTCACATGTGGGCAGGTCAATCAGATGACTGGTTTCAGGCATTTCTTCAAATCGTTCTTCTTCTGATTCATCAATGAGGTCCTGTGTGACTTCCACTGATGGATCCTTACCTTGAACCTGAAAATATCCAAGTATAGCTGGTTACCTTAAAATATAAATGAATTCCATTTTCTGGAAATCAAATTATTGACCATTGAGCTTAAGTAAAAATAACTTGCAAAAAATCAGTACTAGTAATATAGTCATTGTTAATTAAAAGTGAAGTCTAGAGGAGGAAAATACACCCAGTTTAGAGTCAATTATTTGATCTAAGTTACTAACCACATCATTTCACCTCTAAATTATGACTTACTTTACAGAAAACTTTGCAAACATAAAATTCAATCTTAATTCTTGGCGAGCACACGAAGGGGAAAAAAGGGGAAAAATTAGGACCTTCTTGCCATCAGCACGAAAGTTCCAAGTTAAAAATAGACAAAACCAAAGGCAAAATAAAAAAAGCTATTTGGATTATAGTCTATGTATATTGTACAAATTAAAGCAAAATCATATTTACTAGTGTTTTCAATTGTATGTAACTGGAATTCTTCTATTTAATAATGCATACTAATAATGCTCCAGCAATACATGATGGTAAGAAAAAAAGAAACCATTTACTCCCAGTTAAGTTTAGTGATTTAGAGCTATATGTCAAATAAGCTTTATATCAAATCAGAAGATTCACACTACACTTTCTTAGGCCACTTTATTACACTGTGTGCAACTATTACTGGGAAGACCTAGAGAAAAAAATGTCTGCAGTCAAATGCATAAAACTACTCAAGAACCTTCAGTGGTAAGAATCACTAGAGGGAAAAGCTGATATAAGTGAAAATGACAATAGTAAAACACTATATGTAATAGGATATCAGAGTAGGCAACCACTGAAACAGTGATTTCTATTTACAGAAAATGGTAGTTAAAATGAATGTTATGATTAAAAATGTTATGATTTAAAATTCCAGAAACTGCCACAGCGAAGACTTACTGAAGGAGACATAACTATTAAATGTAGTGTGGGTACAGCCACTGTGGAAAGGAGTATGGAGTTATCTCAAAAAATTAAAAATGGAACTGCTTTATTACCCAGCAATTCCACTTTTGGGAACATATCTGGAGAAACCTGAAACACTGATTCGAAAGAATATATGCGCCTCTATGTTCATTGCAGCATTATTTACAATAGTCAAAATCTGAAACAGCCCTAGTGTCCATCAGTGAATGAGTGGGTAAAAAAGCTGTGGTACATTTACACAATGGACTACTACTCAGTGGTAAAAAAGAAGGAACTCTTACCCTTTGTGACAGCATGGATGGACTTGGAGAGCATTATGCTAAGTGAAATAAGCCAGTCAGAGAAAGACAAGTACAGTGTAATTTCATTCATATGTGGAATCTAGTGAACAAAATAAACTAAACAAAACAGAAACAGACTCATAGAGAATGGACTGACAGCTGTCAGAAGGGAGGGGAATTGCAGGGTTGGGTGAAAAAGGTAAAGGGATCAAGCAAGCAAGCATGCAAACAAACAAACAAAACACCCACATAGACACAGACAACAGTATGGTGATTACCAGAAGGAATGGAGAGTGGAGGGAAATGGAGGAGGGTACTGGGGGTTAAATGGTGATGGAAGGAGACTTGACTTGGGGGTGGTAAACATACAATATACACATGATGTATTATAGAACTGTACACCTGAAACCTATATAATTTTAGTAAGCAATGTCACCCCAATAAATTCAATAAAAAAGAAAAATAAATAAATAAATGTAATATGTAACCCTGAATGGGATCCCGTAGCAAAGAAAGGACACTGGGTTTTAAGCTGAGGATATCTAAATAAAGAATCGGCTTTAGCTAATAACAGTATATGAATAATAAAAACAAATAATAATAAATGTTTAGTTCATTAACTGTGATAAGTATATCATACTAATGTAAGATAACTAATTCCAGTTATCTGAGTTACCACTTATATAAGTTCTTCATGAATTAAAGTCATGAGCACTTTCAATCATCAGTGTCTCTCGCACATAGTATTCATGAACATTAGGAAAATGGATAAATAAAAAAAATCTAAAGGTCTTAGAACATAGTTACTTATTGTTTTGTTTTTTGAAAGATCCTGACATTTTACAGGGTATTAAAATCTAAAATGATTAACAAAATTATAATTTAAAAAAAATTTGGTGTAAAATATAAAAGGAATTTCCAGGTTAGGTTACCAAAATCTCACATGAAGACATTTTAATACACATCTTTTAGGTTAAAAAAAAATTCAAGAATGCATACAACTGTTAAGTTAAATATTATTCAAAGACCCTTACCTGACAAATTTTTTCCCAGATCTCATCACAGCCAGCTTTTTCCTGAAAACTTAGAGCCAGATCATAGTTTTCAGCTTCTGACCAAACAATTAATGTATCCTGTTTGAAAACAAAAATTTCTAGATCATCACATTTGAAAAGAACAATTACAAAGCATAAAAAAAAATCAAAAGGACAGAAACCAGCACAGCAATGACAAATGCCCTCTCAATTAATGTACACTTAATTGACATCATATAACTCTATTTTGATACCCTTTAAAACTTTAGTAACATACTGGCAATGAAATAGTAGCTTTGGCACTAAAAATGACATTGAATAATTTTCTAAAACAAAAAAGACTAAAGTAGGTTAGCAGGTTCTGGCTGATGTTACCAAGATAATGTTTAATGTAAAGTCTAGCCATTCTTGGCTAAACTGTAAGTAGACAATCTAATCATCTACTTTCTATTGTTTCCATAAAGTCAGCTGTTCCACTCACTAACCACCTACAAGTTTATTTTCCCCTTTTAGCCAGTTGTAACTGGCTGCAAATAGGCTAATAGCTGAAAATATCTTAAGGTTTAACCCTTTCTATTTTTGCCTTTTTTAACCTGGAAAAGCCTTCAGAATATTAAGAAATGTAAAACAATGGTGAAATGAAGATAACTTGCTTTATCTGTATTACCAATAGCACTTAGTTCAGCAGCTTAGGTTGTATAAAAATTAAGAACCCCACGTTCAGGTAAGTACTTTCTCAGAATGTCCTTAATCATATCTCCACCAAAAGGTTGGTTATCTGTTTAGGAAAAAGTTGTCAACCCATTTATTAAAAATTAAGGTTTGGGTTTAAACTAAAACACACATACACATTTAAACACTAAAAGCACTAAAACACTCAAATAAAATGAAATTTTTTTTTTTAGGATACATAATGAAAGTTTAATATGGCTAAAACTTTGATTTTCAAAATATGTATATTTGAATTTATACCTTAATTAGTAAAAATATAATCCATAAAAACACCTTATTTACTCATTGTTCATCTGACCTCTTATTAAAAAATATAAAACTGAAAGTAAGCTCCAGATTAATAAATACAAAGTCTTCAAAATAAAAACATTTCAATATTTTGGTAGGTCTAACCAATACTCAAATAAAAAATATGCTTTAAATGATCCAGGCCTCGGATTACTACTTTTTTGCTGGGTAACCAGGTAAAAAAACAGCTAGAAATCAGTTTTCTAGCTTCTGCTTGGTCATGCTTCTAGTAAGGGAAATTTACCACCAGGTATTCTAAAATTTTATCAGGCCACTCTTGCATTTAAAAACTTTAAGTAGTTCCCCCATTTACAGAAGAGATTTTGAAATCTTAAAAAACCAAACAAAATCTAGCAGAATTCTTTTTACAAACAAAATTTACTAAAATTCTCCGTGTTAAAAAAAAAAAAAAAGATAGAAACAATGCTACTTAGGTTAAAGCACTAAGACACCCACTCAGGCTCTGTGTTTCCTCAGTCCTGAGCTGTGTTAGATACCTCCTCAAAACAGTTTCATGAACAGTGATCTCCAAAACATTTTTAACTGTGTCTCAAATTACTTATATATTATATACAGGAATATAATATTAATACAGCAATACTTTTAAAAACATACACTGAAATAGACATAAAAAGGTTTACATAAGGATAAAATAAACAGTACCTTAAAGTGTTGGAATTATAATGTCTCCATACCATTAGCATTTTAAGATGCAATATATACTCAGGGCACAGTATACCCACAAATGACAGTACACACAAATCCATATGTAATGTCATTGTTTTAATAATTCTAAATTTTTGAGGAGGGGCAACTTCTTGTAAGATCACAATTGGTTCTTTGTGACCTGGTTGATAGAACAGTTACACTAGGAGTATAAATGTCAGTTTAACCATTACCTTGTTCATTTGCACTTATTGTTACCAACCATTTTTAAGGCATTTATTTATTTTGTTAGGGTTACAGGTAGCTTAAATTGAAAAATATCTGTGAACAGTTAACTGTACAGATAGTCTATAATAATTCACCACAAGTGGGAACTCTTTTCATGGAAATGCTACTTTTCTCTCAGAATACCATACCTGTTTTTGACTCTTGATCACCTGACTTCATTAAATATTAGCAAAACTCAACTTCTGAAAATGGGTTTCTTCTCAAATCCCAATGCTTCATACTGTGCATTCCACTTTGGAGATCACTAGTACAAGAGAATGAAATCCAAAACCCTTACTCCAGGCATCCAAGGCCTTTTCAATTTTGGTTCCAATCTACCTTCTAAGTCCACATAAGCAGCAGCCTGAATTAAGGTAACGGAGTCCTCTTCTTCATCATCATTTTCTTTTGTTCTTTCCTCCCCCATTCCTAAAGGAAACTTTTCCCCAAGCCAGTCAAAATCCCAGAAACTAAATGGAATTTATAAACAGAATTGTTTTTTAATGCAAAGAAGATTGACTTTGGGAGATGGTTAAAATACAGATTCCTCCTCTTTGGGGGCAGATCTGGAGTGAAGCCCAAGCATCCTTATTTTTAACAAGGGTCCCAGGTTATTCTTTTGATAAGTCAAATTTGAGAACCTGACTTAAGTGTATCTCTGGTTGACAAAGGATAGGGAAGTGCCATCAGAGTAGGCACCTTTCGGCTGTAGGTATCTACTCCAAATGGGTGACCAACCCCATCCTTCCTTCTCCACACCATTGCCTCAGTTGAAAAAAATACTGGGAAGAAGCACTCCTTAAAATTGCTTATTCCAAGGGTTAGCATAAAAGCTCCTACTGAGCACAGAGTTGGCACAAGAACATGTAAAACAGAATGAGAAGTGTAAAGTGGCAGGGTTTCCTGCATATGAAAATGCCTAGATAGAGCCAAGCTTAATTTTTCATGGTAAGGTCTGTTTTCTATCATTGTGCTTTGTGATATATTTTTTGCACATTTGTGTGCCACACATATCTTTGGGATGTTATTAATGCCTTCTCTAAAACCAAGAGAAGCCGAGAGGTTTTCCCCCCAACTCTACTAACTAAAACATTTAATCACCACTATGTCCCTGTGGAAATCAGATTTAAAATGAGCCTGCAGGGAGAATAGAAAAAGGCAGTTATGTATGGTCTGGTCGTTTAAAAAAATAGGAAAGGTGATTATGTCCAAGTCCATGATGGGAATAAGACATGAGCTAGAGAAGCTTGACAATTTAATCTTTACCAAATCAGGTGTTCACAATGTAGTATTATTATAAGGAATTGTTATTTTCAATCTTATATATTAAATAGATTATTAAGCCATATACTGTTTAAATGAGAGGTTCTTAATACAGAGTCCAAATGATACCTTAAAACTATATCACACCTCTTTTGGGTAAAGGGTTGGATTTTTAATATCATATTCACAAAGGCACCTGTGACACATTTAAAAGGATCTAACAAACTAATGGATTGTCTGTTTCAGTTTTCTGGTACTGATCCACTTCATTAACATAAATAAATGCAGAGTCATGAAATAGATCTGAGACATTATAGTTTGCCAGATCACCCTATACCTGCCCCTTATTGACTCTGACAAAATTCAATACAGAGAGAGCTGAAGTTTTCAAAAAGGAGTATTTTTTTTTTTAAAAAGGAAAATAAAAAATATCAGCAGGTTTACAGAATTTAATTGGAAGATCAAAATCAATTTAAAAGTCTGAAAATGAGTGAGTTTAACCAGATAAATAATGCAGCATCTAACTCTCTAGTAGTCCCTAATAGTTAACCTACTTTTTCTGAGATGGATTTTTAAAATATAGTATGGTAAAACATAGAGTCCAAGAAAGACATGATGACACTTATAAACAGTAGTAATATCTATCTTCCCAAAATCATTGATATATTTGGATGCAAAAATAATAATTCTCAGCTAGAATTACGACCTGAGTACAACTCAAAGTTTCACTGTCCCCTATTTCTGTGAATTTCATCAGAGTATTTCACCTCTTTGATCTTTTTTCATTGGAAGAGAGGAAAATGCTGCCTACATTGGGATTATTTTAAGATTATTATGAATATAGTTCTCTTACTGAACTTATGTGTCAGGTACTGTGCTAAAGCATTTCTCATACATTATTTCACAACTATTCTACAATGTAGGTTGTATCTCCATTTAAAAGATGAGATTCAGAGAAAATTTGCTCAAAATCACACAGCTAGAAATATGAAGTTAAATCCACATTACTACTATGCCACATAATAAACGTGAACAAATTCTAAAAACCCCCACAAAGTTCTTTACAACTTTGCTTTCCAAGCTTCTCCCCTGTGGCATTATGTTTATCTAGGCATCTCCCTAAACACTTAAATAAGAAAAATCTGTCTCCATCTGATTCCCAAAGATCTCTCCTTGGTCCCATTCCAAGCCATCACCCAGAACACATCTCCAACCATCACCTCACCCAATCTTTCAAAGCTAATCATTCATATCCTCTACTCATGCACCTGCTCAATAGTTCAAAGTGCAGAGTGAACTCTACTCACTACAAATTCATGCTGTGATTTTAAAGTAGCATTCAAAATTGTAGAAATCTCATTCTCCCTGTATACTCATTAGTCCATTCTCCACAATGACTCTCAGGCTAAATCCCAACATCCTTAATGGTATTGGAGTTTTTGCCAATTAAGAGGTAAATACAATAAATGTATGATCAATCTCAGTGGACATTCTACTAACCAGAACCTAGAATATTCTCAATCTTTCTCTTGCAGGATATGGAACAGACATTTGCTGATTGAATGGCTGTCCTTTCCTTACCAAAATTCTGCTCTCCCTTAGTTTGAAGACATTTTCCTGATTCTCTACTTTTTCCAATTGCTTAATCTTCCTCTTTACTGAATCTTCATTCTTCCTGATTACCAAACACCTAATCTAGCAGCATGCCCTGTCAATTCTATCTCCAATATATATTTCAAACCCATCCATCCATGTCCGTCTCCACTGCTATCACTGCTAACCCAATCCAACATTATCTCTTGCTTGGACTATGCTGTGATCTCTCCATTAGTATCCCACCCCAGTTATTGGCGCTCTTCAATTCCATAAATTCATGTCACTATTTTGGATCATGTCATTCCTCTAATGAAACGTTTCAGAAACTTTCAAATGCACTTCAAAAAATCCAAACTAAAGATAGTGGCCAACCCATAAGCATCACTCAACCAAGTATTACTGGATGAATGAATTAATGTGGAGAATTCAACAAAGCTCAGTCTTAAGCTCTGTTCTTTTCTCAATTTGTATCTGCTTTCTCAAAGGAGGTCCTTCTTACAGCTAAAAATATTAATGATTCTCAAATTAGAATCTCCTACAACAAATTCTTACTGTATTTTTGGTCCCAGGTGTTCATTATAAGACCTTTCCATTTATTTTACAATCGCTTTGGAGCCTGAATGAAAAAAAGCAAGGCACAGAACAGTATATGGTGTGCTACATTTATGCCAATAAGAGAAATATCTGCGACTGAGGGCATATTTGTTTATATATGCATAAAACCACTAGGAAGATAACAAGAAACTAGTAACATTGGTAGCTTCTAGCAAGGGAAACTGTATGGACTGAGTCCAGGATGGAAGAGAGACTTTACCAAATACTGCCTGAATTTTTAACAATGTGAATGTATTACCCATTTAAAATAAGCCTCGAACCAAATTATTAATGTAAATACGCTTTCTTCTTAACTTCCCAGTTTCCTAAGGGAACCATCATTTCCCTGGCCCCAAGATTCAAAAACACTACCAGTAACTTGATTTTTCTCTGACATATAATCATTCACTAAATCTTCCAGCACTTTCTTAAAAATATACTGGAGCTCTGTTCCTTCTTTCTAATTCCATTTACTACACTGAAACAGACTTTCACTTTCTTGTATCTGAATTATTACAAAAGATCTTGCTACCTACAGCTCGTTTCCCTCCCCACCCTCAATTCATTATTGATGACTGCCACACTCACTTCCTAAACAGAGTATCACTTTCACCATGTCAGGTCCCTAAAGAACCTATAAATTGTTCCCTTTTGTTTAGGAAACCAAGCTCTCAATTAAGAAACCTAGGCTGAAAATAGGCATACCACCTTTTGTATTAGGTGTACTATTTCCTTATCAGTTCAGTTCCTTTAGCATATACTACACCCAGGAGTGTGTTTTTCTTAATGATTCTGGTTGAAGTCAATGTCTCCCTTCTCTAATTTTCTACTGCCCAAGTCTGTACAAGTTGCTTTTTATAAATAATATTTAGTGTTGGCATATACCTGCTGTATAGTCTTAGTCATGAAACGTAAACCTTCTGTGCCTTAGTTACCTTATCTGTGAAATTCTTTCATGGCCTTTCAATGAAGACTGAGTTAATACACTCCATCGGCTATTTTATCATCGTTCTGTGATTGTTTCACCTTTTAGTTATCCCCCAATAAAACCAAGGCCGAGAACGTCTTTATACTTCCTTCCTAAACCCAATGAACACAAACTGTGTTACATATAAAAGGTACACATCCCAATGACACTTTCATCAGCAGGGCTGAGTTTACGTAACTTAAAATTTTGGCATATGTATCAGGCACTTTATTTCATGTTCCACTGTATAGTCATTCTCTTCCCTTCCCAGTGTGGATACTGGCTCCTTTAGGGTAAGTGTATCTTTTCCTTCCCAGTAACTACTTCAGTATTGCCCACAATATGCAAGAAAATTGATGTGAATAATGATAACCTACTGATATTGAACATGACATTCAACTCAACTCTAACTTATTTTGAAAACACAGTTCATTACTTAGCTCATTTTAGAACTGTAATGTTGAAAAGAATATTGAATATTCCTCTCTGAATTTATTCAATGTATTGTAATACAGTAAAATATTCTATAAACTATGGATGTCTCATTCATTCATTTTTAAAAATTAAAATCCACTAATGATCAATACACTTCATATACTGATATAAAGTATATTGACTTATATTTCATATACATTTTGGAAATAATTTTTTAGACTAATTTACTGAATAACTTAAATGAAATTCTAAAAAAGGTAATTCTAATGAACATAGAAAAATAGCAATGTGTTTGGAAATCCCAATTTGTGTAACTTGGTATAAACTTTAATGTTATTTAGTAAAAGTACCTCAACTTGAAAAAAATAAAAAGAGCCCAATAGTATATTATTTGAATGTGATTAATTACAGAAAACATTTTCCCAATAGCATAAAAATTTTTTTTTTAATTAAGATTTTTCCCCCCCTCCAATGCTTTAATTTTCTAGCAAAGTAACATTACAAACAAAACTACATCCCAAAGTTTCTAAATACCACCGTGTATTTTTGGACTAATATTGGGGGACTATTTTTTATACAAACCTCTGCCATAATGTGATCTTTCCAATAGTAACAATAGCCAAAAGATCTTGTACACAATCAGAAGAATCCATATTACAACTAATTTGTAGGGAGTCACATGTAAGACCACAGTTCCTGAGAATTTTATATTCACACAGATAGAAAAAAATACAATCACAAAATATTAGTATTTCTTTCCCCACAAACAAGCAAGCAAACAAACAGGAAAAACAAAACCATAAGTGGCTATCTGGCAAAATTCTGTGCAAAGAGAGAGCAACTACCTGTCTGGCTGACTGAGAAATTAAATTTACTTAAATGTTCTATACCTTAAAATGTCTAAGGTATAGGAAACATCTTCAGGTGTTCAAAACAGGACAAATGTTTAATTTGATTCTCTGTCAGAAAGGACACAGTATTTTCTAAATAGAGAGAAAAGACCTACAAATTGAATACTGAAAATTAAAAAATATTTCAAAGGACTGATTAAGAATATATTGCATACACAAAACAATTGTTTAACAGTAAAGCTTTTACTAATAACGCATTGTGCAACAGACACAGTTTCATTCCTCCAACAGGAAGTATTTGTTTCTGGGTATTCAAATTTTCATTGGCCTTGAAGAAAATAGGCATTGATGATGCAAATATCTTAACATAATTTATATTTTCCTTCAAAAATCTCTGCCATATTCACTTTACACACCACACACACAAAAATAAAACTGGAAGTAATCCAAATGTCTAACAGGTGTATATCATACATCAGAATACTGTACAGTATTTTTTAAAAAAAACTAGATCTACATTGTTAACATGAACAAATCTCCAAAATAACGTTGAGTGAATAACGAAAGTTGTAGAATACATGTAAGAGTACGAGATCAATTGTATAAAGTTCAAAAACACACAAAAGACTACATATTATTCATGGATACATACATATGTAGAAAAGGTATAAAAGCATGTACAGAAATAATACACATCAACTTCAGAATAGTGATTACCTATAGGGAAGATAGAGAATGGAGAGAATGAGATGGGTACAAAGGGGGCTTTAACTCTACCCACAATGTTCAAAATTACAAAAAAGATTTGAAACAAATACGGTATGTTAACATTGTTCAATCCAGTGGTGTTACACAGAAACTCATCATATTATTCTCTGTACTTTTCAATTTTGAAATCTTTCAGAATAAAAACATTCACAGAATAAAGAAAAGGTTGAATCACTGCTGCCATTTCCAGATTAAATAATTTAGTACGCTAAAACACAACACAGGTTTTCTTTTCTCAAATGAGACAATAAATATTAACAGAAAACATTACATAATTTTGTACACTTTTGTAAAGTATCATTGATTAAAAATATACAACAATTAAAGAACAGGAATTAAATGTTCGTACTTCAAAACTCTACTTTTGCTTAAGTCAAAGGATCTAATTTCACACCACAAACAGGCTTTCCTTGCTCTAAAGAGTACCCTTTTGAATTTTCTTGTATGCCATTTCCTTTAAAAGTGGTTGAGAATAAAAGGCTTAGTGTACAGGGTATAGCAAGACCTGGCTAAATGTAAGTTAAATAAGACTAATGAATACATTGTATTCTACTATAAACTAACAGTGGCTAAACTCAAAGATAATACATAAACTTTCACTTTTTCAGTTTGAAACTTTTAACCTGCAAGGGAAATATAGATGGTGTATTACTTTATCAAACATGTTTTTCTTGTCAGGAAAGCTTTCCCATCTTTGTCAGATTAATATTTCCTTGATCACAGATGAAGTCTTTCAAATTAAAGATAAACAACTACTTGCCTGTTGTTTCTGATATGCAGTGTTTGGATTTATCTTTGATTCCAAGAGTAGTGATCCTGAAAGATAAAAAATAATATCTATAAGTTTCCATTTATAAAAACCTGAATTAAAAAATCAGACTCCACATTAAAAAAATTCATGTTCTCTTCACTCAGCTAGACACCTGAAGTACTCTAATCCACACTTTTCTCTCCAGATCTGAACTTCATATTTAATTTAGAACATATCATCCTATCCCCAGAAGCCTTTTAATGGAAAAAAAAAATCCATCTAAGACAAACATTCAGACCAAGAATATAAGTAGACTTGATGACTATTAGAGTTTTATTGAAATGAAATTTTAAGGTCTAAATGACCACTTGAAGCCAAACTCTTTTTAACAGTTATTTTATTGCATTTCCAGTTTAACAAATAAAACAAATTACAAAGGACCACAATAGGGATCTATGCACATAAATTACAGAACTGCTTTATCCTTTTCTCCTTAGAACAAAAGGAAGAACACTGCATGTAGAAATAAACGTCCATGTCTATTTAAAATAAAAGGAAAAGTACAAGAGTACAAAACACATCAGGAACAAATCTAAGATAGTTATTTTTCTATTATCTGCACAGAGTTTCAGATTACAACGAGAAAGGTGTTTTAATTACAGCTCTACATTTCATGATTTAAAAATATTTCCCATGACTGGTACAATAAGTTAATGAATACATGTTTACTATCCGCTTTGGTGTCCTAACTTGTTTAGGTTGTGAAGAGTCCACAGCACCCCTATACAAAGGCAGCCGGGAGGGATCTCAGACTGGAGATGTGCTTGTGCGTGCGGGTATCGTGGCAACGGTCTGGAATAACCCCAGGCTTTAAAAGGTGCCTTTTGCTTTTCCTCAGCACCTGTCGGCTGTGGCAACTGGGGCTCGTTGGTAAAATCGGTTTAAAAAAAAGACTCGGAAAGAAAAGTTCCACTGAACCATCTGTACCAGACATATAACAGATGAACTAAAAAGAGGAGGGAGGCTCGGCTCCCTAGGCCGAGTAGATATCAGTACCTTGTCTCTCTCTAGCTTCATCCCTTCTCTTTCACACGCTCCCCTCTTCAAAGGAAAAGAGACTGGAGAGGAAGGAGTCAAATCCTTAACAGGGATAGGAGGCGGAGGAACAAAAATAGGCTTCTGACTGAGGGTGAATCCGGACAAAGTAGTTTGTTTTTACCCTAAAGAAGTGCAGGAACAAAACCGAGGCGCTGTATCAAGAGGTGGTAGTCACAGAACCCCGCCTACGGCCTAAGCCCCACGGCTGTGCCCATCCTGGAAGCATTATTCCCTGTCCTACCGTGCCAATAACCTTACCGTCGGACTCCGCCCGAACCAGCAGCGACATCCCCTTGAGCTCCTCCACATAAGTGGAAGAGACGTGCCCGGTGCCTCGGTCGTCCCATTGCCGGTCTTCATTCAGGGTATAGACCTTCACTCGCCGCCGCGTATCCGACATCGTGGCTGCTGTTCCCACCACTTCAGACGCCGCCTCCACGTTCACCTCGTCCGCGCCCCTCACTCTTGAGAGACGGTAGCGGCGGCGGCGGCGGCGGCGACGGTGGCGGCGGCGGCTTCGGAGAGGCCCAAGTTCACCATGGCTCCCAATGTTTAGCCGCGGGAAGGGGCAACAAGAGCCACCGAAACCTCTCTGGCTGGAGTCCCGGTTACCTCTCACTTCACCCCT